GCTTTGTGACGTCATATTTGAGGCGGGGTCTGACTTTTTGTGACGCCGTGTGACGAAGGGGGGGGGGGGGTGGAAAATCGTCCAAAATCGCGTGACGGCATTTATTGACGGCACCTAATGTAGCAGAACGGTTCACGTGTCTGGCTCATGTGAGCGAAATCTTGATCGGTAGCCCGCTCGTTCCACATGATGATCGCACAATGCCACTTTTGTCACCCACGCAAACGTGAAACAACGTCAGGTAACCATCCTTGGGGTGGTGCCGACAAGTGATATATTTGGCCTCGTCTCATGGATTAAGTGTCGTGGACCTGACTTTACAGTCAGTGTTGATGTACACGCCTTTAGAAATCCACTGCTGGATGAATGCCTCCCCCCCCCCACCCCCACTCTACCCGCCCCACGTCTTGTGAGCTTATTGTTCACGGGGCTTATTGGCCAGTGTCAGGGTGTGATTGCAACTTTAGGTTTTTAAATCCTATATATTAAGTTCACTTGCCTGCTTAGGACCGTGCAAACCTTTCGGTCGTTTTTTAACCCACTTCCCGTGATCCAATCGAGCTGACATTTTCCACACAGACTCGTTGTGCGTGACAATTAATGGTCGTGAAATTTTTTTTTCCCAAAATGTTACACTTTTTAGGACAAAAATATTATATTTAATAACCAATTGCTTAATGGTGCAATATAATAATCTGACCCATAGGTGGCAGCCATCTCAAGCCAGAGGACGAGAGGACTCTAGCCGCCACGCATATAAAGGATTTATAATGAAAAACTTTGTTTTTACGGGTGCTACTTATTTAACACTTCTCATGACTGTGACGTACCCCCTTTGCTGATGTCTCACGGGAGATAATTCCCATGCAGTTGGGGGTGGGGGGGGCTGGAGGTGCCAGGAGATGTCACGCTGTCTTCGAGACACGCTGGTGCGCGCCCGCTCGGTCAAAGCATGACAAGAATTTGTGCAAAATAGTTTGTAATTTGGCCAACATGCTAACACGTCGTAGGCTTTCGCGACCAATATGAGTCACAGTAAAGATTTTTACGGGGTTTAAATCACTTAAATATAAATGTGTTGTTAACCCACCACCACCACCTGCCACGGCCAATTAGTAAGGTTTGTCCGTAAACAAATGGTGCCAATTAGTGGATTCTGCAGCTCACCGGTATGTTGGAGAGCACACCCACAACATTTACAATTTGAGTGCGACGTTTCGCTGGTGATTACAACCAACTTCATCAGGCGATTTGCCAGAAGTATAAATTCTGGCCATTAAGAATTCTGGAAAATCGGCACGCAGTGCCCAATGAATCCAGCGACCCGGGGTCCATTCTCGGCCACGGCTAACGTCAGTGGCAAGTGATACATCAATCGACCCTGAGCCTCCTTCTTTCATTGTAACCAACACTGCACCAGCGTGGTGAAGTATGGGCCGCAATAATTTTAATGGAGTGCGCTTACCAGTAACGTCTGGTAATCCAGCGGTATGTGTCTAGCAGGCCTGACTCTGCTGATGAATACCGGTCCACAGCTTACTGCTTGATCGTATTGGTCTGACTGATGGACTTTTGCGTATTAGTCTGGAAAGCCAGTAGGCTGACGGACTAAAGAAAAAACATTTGTTTTATTTGTCTGTGGAGATAGAATGGAGTTCGGATTTTCTACCGTATGCCTTAACCCATTGTTTCCCGAGATAAACTTGGAGTAAAATGTCTTCCAGCAACAACGTACAGATTTAAGATGAGCCGTTGTGAAATAAGTGGGGTGGTATTATCACCCAGAGGCTTCGCTGTGACTAACACACTTGTGAAATTTTCACAGCAACATAGCAGGTATCGTGGCGCTTCATTAATAATTCATTTACACCCTCCTCAAAGTTTCTGGTCTCGTCAGATGCTTAAGCGCAGCGGGTGGTCAATATATTTTTTTTCCTCCCTCAGAATAACTCAATGTTTACCGCTACACCTTCCGGTGTTGATGTGTCTGCATCGCTGCAAATAATTTGCAATCTGATGGACAGGAGTATTATTCCAGCGGGATTAATACAGTCCAGTGAAGCTTTTCGTTTTTAAATGGGTAGACGGAGAGATAGTGGCAAAGGTGCAGCGCTGCATTGACTGTTACTTGTGGGTGCCATTGTAGCGAGATGGTAGCTATCTCGTCTTGGTAAACAGGAGGTTCGTGAGTTCGATCCCAACCCTTAATGCCTGTATATTTGGAGTTTGCGTGTCTCTCCCCGTGGTCGCGTGGATTTTTCTCCAGGTCCTCTGGTTTCCCCCCCCCCCCCCCCCCCCCCCCACTTTAGAAACATAAAATAAATACATAGCTCAGTGGGCCGTACCTGGTAAAATAAAAAAATATATCGTAAATAATAAATCGTTACTTGTTTTCAACAGTGTAACACTCATGCCTGCCAGATAAAGATATACAGCGTAATCCATGAAAAGATACGCTACTGATTTCGTATTATACTACTTTATTTTCAAAGGCAAAGGTGCAACTCTGCAATTGCATGCTCACGTGAATGCTGGTGGAAGGACCTCCACTCGTGGAAGCTCTAGAGAGCTAGAGTGTAGAGTCTTGGCCTCCTCTTTCTAAACTGCTAATCAACTTATTTTACTGAGCTATATAGCTCGTTTTCAGAAACGACTTGGCTATCAAAATGATCGCTCAACGACGCGATTAATAATTATTGGTGTCAATCAATCAACTCTTTATTTCTATAGCAGTATTTCGTGCAAAATATGCAATTCAAAGTGCTGTACGGGTGAAAGAAAAGATTGTTTAAAGACTAAATCGCAAGAACAATAAAATAAATTTCCATACAAAACAAAATCGCATTATAATAAATTGCTAGCGAAGGCGTATTAAGAAAAAATAACACTATTAAAGTATCTAAAGTAAAAGCAAGTTTTAAAAGTTCGTTGTTGAATTTAACATAAAATTTCTTCATGAGTATTATTGCCTTGTGTATTATATATAATGTTGTGGGTCGAACTCGGACCTGAATCTAAGCCAGTGGGGTTCTTACCCTGGGGTGGCACTCACCCCCTGGAGGTGCGAGATGCCCTTTCTAGGGTGTGCGAGACGTGGCCAGATATTTTTTTGTAGAAGGTAAATCATCGCAAAACACAAATCAAGCACGAGCACGTAAGTACAAACACTACTTTGTTTCATCAAATCTATGTATTTATCAACATGATTTCTAAAAAATACGATTGAGAACCAATGTTGTGCAAAGCTGCAGCGCTAGGTTAAGAACTGCTCGTCTAGAAGAACGGGGGTAACCCTCTGCCTCTCGAGAGCTTCCACTGTGTGAATCTGGAAGTTCAGGTCTTAGTTCAGGCACGAGTGGCTCTGCTGATGAGACAGTGCGTGGCGAAAACCGGCCCCGGCGTTTGCTTGTGTGGAATCAACGCCGATGAAACTGCGCACTCCCAGAAGGCCCTGCGACTGATGGGATGTGTAAAAAAGAATACTAGTTTTCATCGAAGGGACAGAGATATGTGAGAGAGGCCCATCGACTGCTTCGTTATGTTGTCCATGAAGATTATTCGTCGAGTACAGATAATATATATTACAGGTAGGAACAACAGTTTCCACACTGCCCACCAGGGATTATTTGTCTGTCGTGCATATTTGTTTGTCGTACACTCTGCGCAGTTGAGTGACTGTGACTGTCTTGACATATTGCAGTTTGCTTGACTGCAAAAGTTTTATGTCGCGATCGCCGACGTTCTGTGCATCCATCGGCGGTGTGGAGATAGTGGGGATGTTCGCAACCATCGGCGACGTCTAGCCACAACCTCCAACACGACTACAGTATCTTCTTGGTTCTTTCGGTAAAGTCACGTAGAAGGGAAATAATAAAATAATAAAAATAAAACATAATAAAATACAATTCTCACGACATTTCGGCCACAACGCAAGCAGCCGTCCTCCGGTGAAGAACAGGTCTGTCGGAAAGACAGCGACTACGGTATCCAACACAGATCGCACGAATGCGCTGTCTAACCAAGTTCCTACCTGCCCACTCCGAAGGAACGTGCTGGAGCGTACGACTACAGCGCCGTCTGCTGGCCGGTAGACAGCGTGCAGAGAATTACAACAATAAATGCGTCCTTTGGTGGTGAACACCTTTTAGCGTTCTAATAGGGGTTTTTCCCTTTCTTTTGCGTTATTGTTGCTTCTCCTTTCATGTACGGTTTTAATATTTTTTCGCGTTGAACGGGACCCCATAGTTTAGACCGGTGCGCTCTTACCAATAACATCTTGCAATCAAGCAGCGTTTGTTTAACAATCCTGGCGATGGTGATGGGACACAAAATGTCTAAATCAGGTCCACAGAGTTTGCTTGCTGGCTTGCTTCAACAAATGCCGCTTGATAACATTGGTCGAGAAAGGCAAAAAGGCTGATGGACTAAAAATATATGATTAATTTATTTTAATATACAGATACAGAACGGGGTTCTGCTCATGCAGTAAAAACACTATCGTCATACATCACATTTGGGGCGTGAATTCACATGAAATGCGCTCGCTCCCCCTTTTAAAAAATGTGATTTTTTTTTTATATACTATTTCAAACACTAAGAGTTATTGTCGAAAATATAAACACTTCCACCCAGCGGGAGAGCGGTGGCACAGAGGTAATGTGTGTGTGTGTATTTTGAACTATATTTTGAACATCTTTCGCACCATATTCATCCGACCGTGAGCTTGGCAACCCGAGTTCGATTCCTGGCTCGGGCTAACATCAGTGGTGAGTGATATCCGAAACAAATCCTGAGATCCTCCTCCTTCACCACCTTGCACTGACCGGCGTGGTGAAGTATGGTCAGACAACCACAATGCCCCAACGTGGCGTGGGGAGGTCTTCTTCCAGCACGAGATTGACAAAGGCCTGTCATTTACTTTTATTTGGTCATCTTACGGAATTGTATAATACATGTCATGCAATTAAACAGTCAGACAATGTAGCAAAGCCATGCTTTTTATTTAAGATAATCAAAGTATAAACAAATCATCCATAGAAAACATTGTTAAAAAGAACTGTATTACGAATCGGCTTAATTAAATTATAGTTAATGACAATAAATCGGTGGCAGTGGGTTGTTTGGGATGTTTTTTTCTTTTTTTGGTAAAAAAAATTATATATTCTGCACGGTTTACAAAATATATGTGCACCTTAAAAATATATATCTAAATTAAGCTGCATGCGTCAAGCAGTGAGCACATGGGGCCTGATCCATGTATTGGCAGCAGAGTGGTGATTGCTTCCAAAAATTGGCCAAAAGCACAAAATATGTTCTGTTGAAAACAGCCAGATTTTGCAAATGTTCAACATTGACATTTTTTTTGGGGGGGGGGGGGCGGTGAAATCATCTTTCCACCAAAACCCATAAATCAAGTGCACAATTTAGCACACAATCACATTTGTTGAAGGCAGGGCTGGATTACGATTGTATCTGGGGGGGCTGAGGGTCTGTTGTTAGAGTTTTTTGGGGGTTGGCGGTGGTGCTTTAGTTTTGGGGGGTCCCTCAACCCACGATGTGACCAGGCAGTCTGCTCCGGCTGAATATATCTCAGTAAAACAGCCCCGTTGTTCCCTACACATAATCACACGCTACTTATCCATCTCATATGTTGTATCCTACATGATGTATACCGTGTTCTCCAGATTACAAGATAGCCCGCACAAAGTAAAACACGCCACAAAATAAAGGCGTGTTTACAATTGGGATGATACAGTCGTGTGGAGAGCCGTCTTTACAAAATATTATTGTTATTACGCTGCTTAAGAATGTGGTAAAGAAGTCTCCCGGAAGACTTGTTCTCAACGGCTGGCGGTGCCTCCCGTCCTCTGGGCGGTCATTTATCCCTCTGGAGAACCGCCTTCCGGAAGATTCCTTCCGGACGACTGTCCATCAAACAAACACGTCTTCTTCCCAAGACCAATGAATTCTCCGGATCGTAAGACGCGCTCACAACGGTTTGATTTAAATTACTGTGGGACGTAAGTTTGTATATCTTATAATCCAAAAAATACGATATATATTGGCGGGGTAAGGTGCGGTGGTGGAGGGGGTTCAAATCTGAGGTCTTGGGCTGCAGCCATTCAAGCCCCCTGGGTTACTCCAGGCCCTGGTTGCTGGGTGTTGGTGGTGGTGGTGGTGGTGATGATGGTGGCGGTGCTGTCGAGTTGACCGTCGTCTAACAGCCCAGCCAGACGTTGGACCAGTTGACCGCTATCGTCCGCTTACGCTCGTAGTCGAACTTTATCTGGCGTCGCCCGTCGATGAAGTAAACGTATCCTGCGAACGAAACACACGGCGGCGTCATCAGCACAACACCAGCGACAACACCTGTAGGTTCAGGACGCATCAACACTGACCATAGGGCCCTGTCGTGTACACTCGCCGTTGACCACGTGGTATCAAGTAACGCGTGGGTGTTTTTGTGGCCAGCTCGCTTATGAAAAAGAGCTATACAGCTCAGTGGGACTTACCCGGTAACAAATATAAATCTGTATGTACGCGACAAAACATTACATTGGTGACATACTGAGATAGTAACAGGCACGCGCTTATTGCCCGCGCTGAGGGGTTGCGCAATCAGAGGGGAGGCTGAGCTCGTCGCTGCCTCACCTCTCGTCTCTTCCTGTATTTGCAGCGGAGCTCCGCAAAAATTGGCGATTTTGACTATAAAAATTATTGGAATCGTACAAAAATGTCATTTATAATACAAATCAGTGGAATAATTTTAATATTTATTTCATTTCATTATTCTTTTTTTTACTTTTCGTATCAGCTATTTTCATTGGAGTATGACGGGTGAGGCTCTGCCTCCCCTGCCTCCCCTGACCGCACGTCCCTGCTATGTAATCACTGCCCCGTGGGACTTTTGCTGATGGTAAGTTTCACTTGGCGCATCTAGGCTCTCGCCTTACCTCTCGACTCAGCAGTACCGAGTTCGGGACTGAGGTTCCACTGAGTTTCTGTACCCCCCCCCCCCTTGCCCCTTGTTGCGGCCTGTGCCTTCTATCGGGGTTCTTTCTTACGTTGCAAAAAATGTGCGAGCTCACGGCGCTACGGGCACGAGGACAACACGATGCACAGAGTACATGTCAGTGCCACGGAGCACTCAGTAAGGGCTTCATGTTGTTGAGACAGCCGCGTGCACAGGGAGTGCTTATTGTTTGAATGTTTTTTATTTACCAAGTTCAAGCCCCCACCGAGCTACGAGGTCCTTCTTCAGAAGTGACCTGGAAGGCCACTCGTGATAGCTTATCGAATCGGCGCTGTCATCGTGTTATTTAGACATTTACAGTGGCGACCAAATCATGTAAAACGCGTGTTGACCGTGAATGTGGATGAGGAGGCGGGGGAAGAGGGGAACTGGAGGAACCCGGAGAACAATGAACGTCAGTTTAACACGTAGCAGGCTTTCGCAACCAATGTTATTCATAATCAACGTTTTTGGGTTTAGATCGCGTTTATTTATAAATGTGTCGTAACCCTCCACCACCCGACACGGCCAATCAGTAAAAATGTGTCACGTTGACAAAGACAAATAGTTCACTGCTTTAGCCCACCGGTGTGTTGAAGCCACAATATTTACAATTTGAGTACGACAATTACCAGCGAAACGTCGTACTCAAATTGTAAATGTTGTGGCTTCAACACACCGGTGGGCTAAAGCAGTGAACTATTTGTCTTTGTCAACGTGACACATTTTTACTGATTGGCCGTGTCGGGTGGTGGAGGGTTACGACACATTTATAAATAAACGCGATCTAAACCCAAAAACGTTGATTATGAATAACAATGCACGTGACCGCCATGGGGAGACAGAGAGAGAGAGACATCACGCAGGCTCCAAATATACAGCAGGCATCGTTAGGGTCCGGGATCGAACCCACATACCCGCCTGCATACCAGACGAGGGAGGTTGAACATCTCGCCACCATCTCACATTTATAACACTGGTCAACAACAAAAACACATTTTTTTCTGGCCTGGACTTTTGCAGCTGTTTTAGACTAATTTCAGGGTGCTGATTCCAAATCTGATCTCAGATTTGCTCTATCACATCTCATTTTTATGCTATCGGCATACACCATTTTCATTGATTTTACCTAAAATTAACTCCGTCACTTATGATTGCAAGTTGTTGCGAGTCAGTGACTGCTTTAGTGTTAAAATATAGTGCTGTATTGTTAGGATAGTGTGTTTACAATATCATTTTATGTAGATATCCACATTTATTTAATATTTTTCTTCTGCAGTTTTTATTGAAAATGCAATATTTGATATCTCAAAAACCTGATGTGATGCCAGATTTGGAATCAGCACCCCAAAATTACATTAAAACCGTTGGAATACCTTATGCCAGAATAAGTGTGTTGACCAGTGTTATCAATGCAACATCCACGACAGACACAGATTAAGAAGAAGAAGAAAAAAAAAGGAATCAATTACTAAAACCGTCCCCCACCAGGTTGCACGTAAACGTGAAATGTATTTCTTTTAGCTCTGGCTTTTGCAGCAGTCGTAGTGGCCAGAGGGGGGGGGGAGGGTAACCCCCACTTACTGGTGTGGGTGAACGCAGCACTGGGACGTCTAGGAATCCCCGGCCAGTCTGAACGCACATTCCGCGGGTATCCCAAGTCCATCCTCCTCGTGCTTTCATCGTAGCTGTAAAACAAATATATCGATATGTATACACGTACGCGTGCGCGCGCGCGCGAAATAAAAGCGAGTTTCATTGTGACGTTTCGTAAATTTCCCAGAAGTCTGCGGCCCGGTCCCCGCTTGCCAACGTGGACTTCATTCCTCTCCAGGAGGAGCCCTGCAGGTCTTTTGGTATCTGCTCGCGGACCGGTGGACTCGTCGATGTGCAAGTGTAGATTTGTAATTGCCGCCAATGTTCGCTGCATTCACTTGGTTAATGTCCTTTTCTTTCAAAGCAGGACAACGTTACTTTGAGGCACAGCGACTGTGCGTGTCTACGTCGGTGAGGATCCACGTACATTTGTGTGCGTCTGTGTGTGTGTGTGCAGTATATGGGGAGTGGTGGCGCAGTGGTTAGCGACGGTGAAATGAACTGATCCTGGGCCTCTGCTAGGTCGACTCAGCCTAAAATGAATACCTGGTGCGATGTGTAAACATCGCCACTCGAGGAGACGAAGATGGCCTGGGCGTGGTGGTGGATGTTTCCAGCATACAGGAGATCTGTGTCTTTGTGCATATGTGTGCATGTGCGTGTGTCGCGTATGAGCGCGTGTGTGCGTGTGTATGTGTGTGTTCAACACTTGCCCCAACAGATGTTGTCTTTGTATGTGATTTTTGTCTTTGTATGTGTGTAAGTGACATGGCCCAGCGGTAGTGCACTCTTCATTCATTGCAAAAGTTCGCGGTTCGAACCCAACAGCCACCCTGGTTAATACTCTGCGCCATCTGCTGCACTTATGTACGTTAAAGATCCCCTGGTGTGATTCCAAACGAGTAGGCCATCGTCTGCCTGTCGTCATGAGCCATATTCGCCAAATAAATAGAAAATAGCTACGAACTATTACTCAATTGGGACTGCACAAAGCAATCATCGCCCCTCCCGCCCCCACTTGTCGACATTTTCCCCTTTGGGGGCCAGGTGTTGAGTCACCTCGTAGCCGCAGGTGACAGCTGCCGATGGGGGTACCCTTTGAAATGTTTTGAGATGTGATGCAAGTCGCTTATCGCGTGCAAAATGCTCTATCGAGACGCCCCAGTCAAATAGGCACTCTATCAAAAACTAATTATTATGATGCTGCTATGTTTAACGAGGCAGCAAACGGTGCTAATTGGAAGCGCTTACAAAAGTGGTGATAATTACATTGCCATCTGGTGTACCCAACCTGTATCCCATAATTAAAACTATATATCAATCATCATCATAATAGTAATGATGCCATTTCTTTATCCAGAAAGAAAAGAAAAAAACACAAAGCCCCAAGACTTTTCAGGACAGTCCTGCAAACGTTGGGTTGTTGGGGCCAATTCCATGAGTTCGTGGGTGTTTGTCGTCATAATCATAATCAGAATGTTTGTTTTGACTGGACGAATCCGATGAGCTATTAAGCTATTTTTTCCCAGATGTCTTTGTGTGGGGAGAAGCCGGATTACCCAGACACAACCTATCACGCATACGAGGAGATGATGCTTGAAGACCCCATTACAGACCAAAACCAAGAACCAATTAGCTGCACGGGCAGTCCCCGACTTGCCAACGGAATGCGTTCATGGGATGGTTCGTAAGCCGGAACACTTTTATATTCATCCGGTCAGCGAAATGTGTTACCGTTCAACAAAAAAGGGAAGCATTGTTAAACTCATGACTGAGAAGAAATGTAAGTCGGGGACTGCCCTGTATTGCCATCTGCCAGCCACCTCACAGGCCAAGCCAACAGCACACCGGCAACCTCCCGGCAGTCTCCCCATCGAAGCACTGACCCCCGCTTGACCTCCTGAGACGTTGAGGAGATCGGGCACGGCCCTTCGCGATTGGTCCGTAAGGGTGGAAACCCACCTCCAGTATCTGCCTTTCACGAAGAAGAAGGTCTTCCTCTCATCCTTGATGTGCAGGGCCGCATCGATCAGATTGACGTCCGACGGGAAGCCGAGCTGGGTCAGCTTTTTGGGATACCCCGGCATCATGTCGAATCCATTGATCGCCCAGTATTGATTCCCTGCGTCCGGGTCGTAAAGCGTAAACACACCGTGAATTATCGCCCGCAAGCAACGACGGGCAACGCGGACGCAGCCAACGCAATCGCTGTCGGAATGGGGGCCCTCCATTCGTGAGACGGACGCTCTGGAAGGGAGCTCCTTCAGAGAGGATGCTGACCCACTGTTGAACGCCCGAAGAGGCACCACAAGGTGTACCCACACTGCACCGCCACCGCACGCGACCTGCCAATGGACTCACTGCGGTGTAGCCCATCTATGCTGCAGGCTCGACAAAGGTGGCGGGGGCGGGGGGTTTAAGAAACGTTTGCGTAGTTTTAACTGCCACGCCGGGAGATCAAATCGACGCGGCGACCTGCAGAATTTCAGAATCCATTCCGACGCTAATCGTTGCGTCGCGCTGCGGTGGCGGCGGCGGCGGCGGTCTCTCAAATCTAAACTTCACAACAACGAAAAGGAACTTCGAATGCTCACGGATGATCACTTGCTGCCGGCGAATTGCGGTGACCGGCGTTTTACCTTTGAAAACCAAGATGACATCGCGCTCGTAGTCTTCGTAGGCCGCGTCGACCCTGTCCGGCAGGAAGGGCCAGTAGGTGCTGATCATTTCCGCTTCCAGGTTCCGCGTGTTTTGGCTGTTGACGCGCCACAGGTATCTGCGAGTGTATTTCAACAAACGAAAAATAGAGGGAAATGTTTTGTTGGCGATGAGTTTTGAAACTCCACGTAAAAACAAACGTTACTCCGCACAAGTCGTTGCGATGCAAAGGTCGGGCCGGTTCGATTCGAGCTCCCGGCGCGGTAGTTCAGAAGACGGTGCAAAGTTTCTTAAATCCCCCAAGGGGCCGTCCATAAATGACGTCACGCGATTTTAGACGATTTTTGACCCCTCTCCCTCGTCACACGGTGTCACAAAAAGTCAGACCCCCCCTCAAATATGACGTCACAAAGCTTTGCCCCCCCCACCCCCCAAAAAATAAAACATGCTTCAAATCGCTTTAAACTATTGTCATTGTAGTGCGTATTTAATGTGGCGCTGCACTCTGATGTTGTAGGAGACAACATTTATTAAAAAGTCTATTTAATTAAGTAGAACGTGTTGTCTATATTTATTCAAAGTTGCGCATTTTGATGTGACGTCACGTTTCTCAAACACCCCCCCCCCCCCTCGTCACACATCGTCACAAATGTCTGACCCCCCCCCCTCCCCTATGTGCGTGACGTCATATATGGACGGCCCCCAACTCTGCCTCCTGTCTGTTCACCCGGCGACTATGAATGCATCGATCACAGCCAATCGGCAGGTTGCGCGTGGTGGCAGTAAAAAGTGTGGGTACTCCCATCTCTTCTACCAGGACGTCTGGCCGGCGTCGAAGAGTAGGCCAAATACCACTCTTTGAAGGGGCTTTCTAGACCTCCCTCCAGTGGAGGCCCTTCCACCATCGGATTCCTCCAGGATAAATAAAATACAAATTCTGAACGATTCTGATTGGCTCCTCGGCAAATTGATGATCGGGTTGTATGTGCGTTAATTCTAGATTTGAAGCTTTCGTGACTGCAAGGATTCATACTCTTAGGTTTTGTTTCGGTAAAGTCACGTAGATAAAAAATTTTAAATTAATAAAAGTAAAATAAAACAAATTTAAAAATTCACGACGTTTCGGAAGCAACACAAGCCTCCGTCTTCAGGTGGAACCGTCACAGCCACGACAGCTGTATCAAGTAAATGAGAGATCACAAGAAATACCACCCCGTATATATAATGGTTGAGGGGGAAAGGGCCAGGAACGGCACACTTTATTAATAAAAAAAAAAGTGTGCCGTTCCTGGCCCTTCCACCTGAAGACGGAGGCTTGTGTTGCTTCCGAAACGTCGTGAATTTTTTAATTTGTTTTATTTTACTTTTATTAATTAAAAAAATTTTCCTACGTGACTTTACCGAAAAAAAAAACTAAGTGTATGTGCGTTGTTGAACCTGCTTCGCACCGTACGTAGCCAACCGTGCTAATCGGAGGTGCGACGGGCGGGGGGGCGGGTGGTAAGGACAACAAACTAAACACACGCAACAAAGAAGAAGGAGCGTCTTCCTCTCATCCTCGATGTGCTGCACTGCGTCGATCATCCTGACGGCACCGGCGCGTGGCGCCACGTGGCATGCCGGTGACGTCAGGATGATCGGCTCCCCGGCAATCTCGTTGATGGTCACCGCGTCTCTTGCCTGCCGCTGAACATGATGAGCTCAGTGCGGAACTCCGTGACGCTGTCGAACGTGGTCTCCGAGTTGCAGCGCTTCGGGGCTCCCTCTGGGGGCTTGCAGTCCATGGCGTTCCCATTGGGGTTCGGGCCTGCGTGGAAATGATGATTACAGTAACAGCAGCCGCCGCTTCAAATCGAGGATGGCCTCTGGGAAAACCAGGACCTTAGATATGATATGAAGCCGAGACGATTATCGCGATATCATTTCCCCGTTTTAACGTCGCAATTGTATTTCATTTTGCCGTATCAGCTGCGGGTCTCTCTCAACAAAGGCGTGCCGAGAGCCTGCGAAACGTTGCCACGAAAACGCTCACCGCAGAGGTCACACAAACCGACATGGTTTGGGACAACGACGATATTTCGCTCGATGCATCGTACCGCGGTAATTGCGTCGCCGCCGTCGCAACGTGAATGGCCCACAACACGTTTCCGAAATGACCAACTCGGTCATTTACGGCGTCATCCATAAATAAATGCGGCTATCTGCCCTATTTAAACCCAACTCCCTTAATGCGCCAACGCCTCCTGCGAAGCACCTGACCACGTGGTTGCATTGAGACGCTATATAAATGCAAATTGTATCGTGTTGCGTGTGTCCACCAGAGCAGACAACTGGAAAAGTCCCAGAGCAGCGGTTCCCAACCTTTTCGCCTTTGAACCTCCAAACATTTCTCGGACCACCACACGCTGCTAGCAGTTACTTAAAATCGTAAGTTTCCTCGGTGAGGGTATTGTTACTGTTTGTATTATTTGCCTTCTGTTCCGGGGACCACCAGGTTTGTAAAACCGCCTGCGTGGAGGATATTTCACGGCCGTAAATTTTTCCACGTTTAAGACTTTGGTGTGGACGTTTTGCCGTACCGTAAAGGGCCTGGATTCCGTCGATGTCGTCCTTGGGGAGACAGAACTTGTCCACGTAGGCGTAGGTGGGGAACATGAGCGCGCCAGGGTCCTCCGAGTGCTCCAGCCCCAGCGCGTGGCCAAACTCGTGAGCGGCGACGATGAAGAGGTTGTAGCCTGCGACGGGGGCAGCGGACAGCGGACGGTCAATGTGGTCATTCGAGTGTGCAGGCGGTGCAACTGCACAGTGGGCAGGCGCCGGGACTACGAATGATTGGTGACATTGAACGAGGGGACTACAATCAGCGCCCTTGCCAACCACACTACGGCGCTTAAAGGATCAAATCTACTTGCTCGAGGTTTACAGCGGACGTGGAGGTGCTGCCGTGGGGTAAATGGTCGGCACTCTGGGCTTGCAATCCAGACGTCGCCAGTTTGATCTCCTGCTACAGTAGCTTAAACAACGTGGCAGGTTTCTCAAACAGCCCACACCGCCTCTGTCCACACAGCGCTGTAGATAGATCGATACAGCGCTGTAGATAGATCGATAGATATGCCACAGTTAGTCGATTAGCAGTTCACGTGTCATCAGTTAAAGCGTGGTTACTACCACCTCGACCAAAGTGTCAGAATCAAGATCAGAATGTGTTTTTTTCCCAGAGAAATCCGATGAGCTATGAAGCTCTTTTTCATAGTTGTCCAGTAGGGGAGGGTCCGTCTGTCCAGCGAGGAAGAGTTGGCCAAATGCTCTCTAGAGATGCTCTCTTGTGGGCCCTCTTCCGCCAGCAAGTGGCAGCAGCAAGTAAACACAGCGCTGCACATACTCTTAGTTCTTTCGGTAAAGTCACGTAGGTAAAAAATGAAATTAATAAAAATAAAAACAATAAAAATCACGACGTTTCGGAGGCAACACAAGTCTCCGTCATCAGGTGGGACCGTCACAGCCAGATTTGCTGCATCAAGTGAGGCAAGGATTCAAGATGTAATCCCTTAAATGCAAGTTGAGGGGGGAGGAGAGGGGGGGGGGAGCTCATCAGAATGTGGTAGCACCTTTAGCTGTGCACGTTTTATAAATATTTCGCGGACTCCGTTATATGCCGTGAAGCAATGCTGGCTGATTTCATTGGACTCCGAGGCAGGTGATTCTCAGAGGTAATGGAGGAATGCGCCAGAAATATACTTGTGCAGTCTATAAATATACCCAAGCAAGATGATGAGATTGGGGTCACCGCCATGAATTATTTGTGTGCAGCTTCATAGCGGCAACGGTACAATTGAATTCAGTACACCGAGGGATTAATTTCCCCGTGAATATTTTCTAGGTCACCGGTAGACTGGAGTAGGTGGCACGTGACCAGTAAAAAAGGCACGTCCGTAGCGAGAGCCATACTGGATGTGGTGTGCCGGGTGCAGAGATATCTTCCGAGTCGTCAAATCCTGGATAGACCCAGGCTCAAAATCAGCCCCGAGTGGAATTAATAAATTTACAATGTTGCGTCTACAGCACTATTGACATCCATTAAAATCTCATTTGCTTTTACTTGTATGATTAGAGTCGTTGTTTTGGCAATTAGAATTTGCATACGTTGGAGAAAAGTGCATTTTTTTTATATTTTAACGCACACTCGCTTGTGCTTTTCTCTCTGTTAATGCCACTGTGATCGTTTTTTTTTTCAATTGCCTGGGAAAATAATTCAATCGATATTTTTGTGTTTTCTTTTTTACGGGTCTTGCTCTTTGTGTACACACTTGAAACCGTCATTGCGTTCCTACTCTGAGAATATGTCTTTAAATTGGAGACTCCTCTGGTCTCCAATAGGATCCCACCTGGTTATAAATAAACACCGACCGCTTCCGGATACTTCCACGGCCATTAAGGGCGGTGCAATAAACACACCCAAAATCGTCAAAGTCGAGAGGCTGATGCGTGCGAGTGTTAGAAAAAAAACGAGTAGTATCGAAAAAGTGCCAATGCTTTTAGGCCAGGGCCACAAATGAACCACGATACTTTGCTGACTTAGTCAAGGAGCATAAACCATCACGTGAACTTTGTCGCAGCAGCAGCGGCTTTTAGCTGCCCATCGAACAAAGACGGTCACTGCAACGCGCTCTTTCAAATGCGCTTCTGAAACGCACTCCCGATTTTAGCAAGCCACTGGAGCTACGCGCTTTGAAATCGAGATTGAAAACGTATTTCTTTAGAACTGCTTTTCGTCTTTGGTAGATTGTCCTTCCGTTAGCGCGGTTGGCTACGTACGGTGCGAAAGAAGGTGCGCAGATAAACACAGCCTGTGCCGATACGAGTTCAGTTGAGCCGTGCGCTCTGCACTACAAAGCATCGCGCGGGCGCTCGCTCGCTCTGCTTTAGCTTTCAAACAGAAAGGAGAACACGGACGTTTCGGACGGACGTTCAATCGCGCGCCTCTTTGGGGTCTGCGCGCACATCAATTGGGTGGCCGCGTTGATGCTGCGGCCGTGCAATAGGCTCGTGGGTTCGTTAGCTCGTACTCGTAGGTTTTTTTCGGTAAAGTCACGTAGGTAAAAATAAATAATAAAAATAATGGAAATAATAATGGAAATATTTCTTTTCTATTTCTAAATAATAAAAATAAAAATAATAGAAATAAAAAAGTATTTCTATTATTTCTATTATTATTTATATTATTCTTTATATTATTTTTATTTTTACCTACGTGACTTTACCGAAAAAACCTAAGAGTATGAATCTTTGCAGTCACGAAAGCTTCAAATCTAGAATCGTTAGCTCGTCACATCCAAAACGCCGCCTTCAAAGGGAATGCGTCCAACGGCGAGGGCTGCCCCCTCTCGAGCGAGGGTGGCGCGTTTGCGTTTCGGGATCGTGATGCCTACCCACGATGAATGCCTCGTCGTTCGACGCTGTCAGATATCTACAATCTTGATTTGAAGCTTTCGTGACTGCAGGAATCCATACTCTTTGGTTCTTTCGGTTAAGTCACGTAAGTAGAAAATAAATTAAATCACGACGTGTCGATCGCAACACAGAGCGGTCGTCCTCAGGTGGAAAAAAATAGAATCCAGCAGTGGACTGCGATCGAAACGTCGTGATTTTTTTTTATTTGATACCTACGTGACTTTACCGAAAGAACCAAAGAGTATAGAGAGGTACAGCGTTCACCAGAAGGGAAGGGAGAAGGGGGAAGTGGTGGTGCTGGTCAAATGGGGGGGGCGGGGGGGGCCTTAGCCAAAAGAATTAAAGTTTCGGTGCGTTGCGTGACTTTTAAAACATCGTGCGAGGGACAAGCCACGTCACTTCAATGTCACCGCAGCAGCGTGAAATATTTACAGCAATAGAAGCGACGACCGCCGATGCTCAAGAATGGTTATAGATACTCTTAGGTTTTTTCGGTAAAGTCACGTAGGTAAAAAAAAATAAAAAATAAATACTAATACATGAAAATAAATCAATTAAATCACGACGTTTCGGAGGCAACACAAGTCTCCGTCTTCAGGTGGGACCGTCACAGCTAAATTTACTGTATCCGAAACGTCGTAATTTAATTGAATTATTTTAATGTATTATTATTTAATTTTATTATTTTTATTATTTTATTATTTTTATTATTATTTTACCTACGTGACTTTACCGAAAAAAACTAAGAGTATGAATCCTTGCAGTCACGAAAGCTTCAAATCTAGAATAAATGGTAATAGAGTGGCAGCAAAGTAGTGGAACGCGTCCCAGAGAATATCCATGGGGAGGAGGTGGGGGGGAGATGGAGCGATGAAATCAGTTAGCTCTCCGCTTGCTCGGTAGGTTACTTTCAACATCGCCGCATAGTGAGAGGCGGCCTGGGGTTCGCCTTGATTGTCAATGCAGCAGTGGATTGACAATGACTGATAATAATGATGACATTTGAGTCGGCGAGGACCCCGGGCTGGCAGGCCCAGGACACGCTGCTGCTGCTGGGACGATGTTGCTCGGCTGGCCTGGGAGTTCCCGAGGAAGAGATAGAGTCTGTGTATAGTGTAGTGTATCGTGTAGTATATAGTAGTGTATAGTTTAGTGTATAGTGTAGTATATAGTGTATTGTATAGTAGTGTATAATGTAGTGTATAGTGGTGGATAGTCGTGGATAGTAATGTATAGTGTAGTGTAAAGTGGTGTATAGTAGCGTATAGTATAGTATATAGTAGTGTATAATGTATTGTATAGTAGTGTAGTGTATAGTGTAGTGTATAGTGTAGTGTATAATAGTGTAGTGTACAGTAGTGTGTAGTGGTGTATAGTAGTGTATAGTGTGGTGTATAATAGTGTATAGTGTAGGGTATATTAGCGTATAGTGTAGTGTATAGTAGTGTATAGTGTAGTGTATATTGGTATATAGTAGTGTATGGTAGTCTATAGTGTAGTGCATAGTGGTGTAGAGTAGCGTATAGTGTAGTTTATAGTAGTGTATTGTATAGTAGTGTATAGTAGTGTATAGTGTATTGTATAGTAGTGTATAGTGTAGTGTATAGTAGTGTATAGTGTCGTGTATAGTGTAGTGTACAGTAGTGTATAGTGGTGTATAGTAGTGTACTGTGTAGTGTACAGAAGTGTGCAGTGGTGTATAGTCGTGTAGTGTATAGTGTAGTGTATAGTAGTGTATAGTGTAGTGTATAGTAGTGTATAGTAGTGTATAGTGTAGTGTATAGTAGTGTATAGTAGTGTATAGTGTAGTGTATAGTGTAGTGTATAGTGTAGTGTATAGTAATCTACAGCTAGAGTCTGTCGCCAGGGAAAGGGAGGTCTGGACCGCCCTACTCAACACGCTGCTGCCGCGACCCCCAACCAGGTCAAGCGGATTGAGAAACGACACGAAAGACGCGAAGATTTCAGTGAGTGTTTCAAGAATGGGAATTGTACACGTGACATTGTTTGACGAATATCTGAATTCAAGATGATATGTGGCGACAACCCTTGTGTGCGTTTCGTCTGTTGTCCTTCCGCGCATCCTCCGATGAGCACGGTTGGCTACGTACGGTGCGAAAGAAGTTCCACAACGCACATGCGTACGCATTGCACAACCCGATCAACAATTCGCAGGGGAGCCAATCACAATCTGTATGTATTCCTCCCCATGAAACCCGCATGCTCCCTGAGCTGCACTTCGTGGCTGAGCAAAACAAAACCAAAAACCCAAACACATATTTCGCGGTACCTGTGCTCGCTTTGCTGACGATCGCTCGCGCTGACAGTTGGCGAGACAGAGACACAGAGAGAGAGAGACAGAGACACAGAGACACAGAGAGAGAGAGACACAGAGACACAGAGAGAGACAGAGACAGAGACACAGAGAGAGAGAGAATTACCTTTGGAGCTCGACGTCCAGAACTCGTCCTCGTCGAAATGCGCGTCGCCTCCGATGCCGGCGGTGGGAGGCGCGTACGCGTGGGCCAAGATCCCATCAGGGCCATCGAATGGCGACAGGTCACCGTGGGCTGCGGCCGAGACGGTGGAAGGGAAACGCGTTTTGCTTAGTCGCAGCTCTCTCCTCTCTCTCTCTTCTCTCCTGTGACGGACTGGGACTAAAAAAAAACATCGCCACCCCCTCAACCCACCCGGGCGGCATTTGTCAACACACGGGGGACAGGTGGGGGGGCCCAAATTGTCGTGCGAAGTCATTGGCCCATTGAGGCTGGGGACCAAAAAAGAGGAATGGGCCCGTGAAGAAAAATCTTTGGGGCTGCTGAATACGGAGACTTGATGCCAACCGAGAGCGTAAATAAACAATAAAGCCTAGACATTAGAGGGAATACCATATTTAGATTTTTTTTTAAACATTTACTTTGATCACATTTGCAATTTCCCTACGCAGACCGGCCCACCGGCCCTCAAAATGGGCCGGCTCATGGAGCATTTTCCCGGACTACTGCCCTGTGGCCAGACCGCGTCTGGCTCTCTCCCTGCGGGCGGCTCAAACGCAGCAAGTTGAACACAGCAGAGTGGGAGGGGAGAGCACAGCTGGTGCATCTTGCCGGTCATTATTCTAGATTTGAAGCTTTCGTGACGGCAAGGATTCATACTCTTAGGTTTTTTCGGTAAAGTCACGTAGGTAAAAAAATTAATTAATAAAAGTAATAATAAAAATAAAATAATAAATCACGGCGTTTCGGAGGCAACACAAGTCTCCGTCATCAGGTGGGACCGTCACAGCTAGATTTACTGTATCAAGTGAGGCCGGTCATCTCAGCCAGTCCACCCATGCCACCTGGGTCTGTCCCGTGACCTCTTGCCAGCAGCGAGCCTTCGACGCTCCACGTGGCCTCAAAGGGCACATAGCCTGGCACGAGTGCCGTGGTGACGTCACCACCACTTGGTGGCGAATGGCGACTATTGTTGTTGTTGTTGTGTTGTTTACAGGCCGGTGTCGTCGTGGTGAGCGCTCTGCGCTGCCACCCGAGTTTCATTCCCACTCTGGGCCACCAACACCATTGACGCCTATTTGGACCGGTCCTGAGCCTCCTCATACGTCGACTCGGCCTCAAATGAGTGCCCGGTGCATTGTGTAAACATTGTCATTGGGGGGAGACAAAGGCGGCCGGGCGCGGTGCTGGCCACCCACCCCCTCGTGTACCATGCAGGCCTTCATAGGTGCTCGCAAACAGTCTCTTATACATCTTCTTGGTTCTTTCGGTAAAGCCACGTAGAAGGGAAATATTAAAATAAAATAAATAAAACATAATAAAATAATATAATAATATAATATAATAAAATCTTTTCATTATTTTTATTATTTCCCTTCTACGTGACTTTACCGAAAGAACCAAGAAGATGAATCCCTGCAGTCACGAAAGCTTTAAATCGAAATAGTCTCTTATACGGTGACGTTGTTTAGACTCCGCATCCAGATGCTCATTTGAGGCTGAGTCGACCTAGGGGAGGCCCGGACCCTGGTAAGTGGACAGGGGTCCTGGTGAGTGACACAGGCCAGCCACTAGGGCCAGAACCGACATGAGGGGGAAGTAGGGGGGAGCGACGGCTTACTCCGAGAACCGAACTTGATCATGATGTCGGCTTCTCCATGGTAGAGCCTGGTGAAGACGAGCGGCGTCACGTCGCTCCACACTTTCAAGGCCCCGATGATGGCCCTGTCCACCTCTTGCTCCGGCATGTCCGGCGTGTAGTTGTTTATCCTGTCAGGGAAAGACAAACGTGCAGGCGTTCGCATGAAGGGTGGGCCGGCGGGGGGAGGGTGCCGGGAGTTTCTGCGACGTAAAATGCTGTCTGTTGCATTTTTTTATTTTCTTTGATAGTTCGATTGAAGTTGCAACTTTGAAAGTCTGATTAGTGGATACGTTTGAAAGAGTCGGCAACGGCCTAAAGCAGGGGTCGGGAACCTTTTTGACTGGGAGAGCCATAAAAGCCAAATATTTCTAAATATATTTCATTGAGAGCCATATAGTATTTTTAACGTATAATAAATTAAATATGTCTTACTTTTAATGCGACTTCTGGTCACGGGACACGTGACCCGAGAAATTTATCTTCAAAACTAATTTCTGTTTACTTTAAAATGACACAGTATTATTAAGCAATATCACAAGTATTTTAAAATCAGTTCCAAACTGATTTTATTTTTTTTCAACTCAAAATTGTCTGGGAGCCATATGCCGTCACCGGAAGAGCCATATATGGCTCGCGAGCCATAGGTTCCCGACCGCTGGCCTAAAGGATGACGGAAGGCGCCCCCGGGAGAATGTCAGCCGTGGGAGATGGAGCGATGGAATCACTCCATCGGGTTGTGTGCACGAGCTAGATGGATACGATGGATCGTTCCATCTCAAGACCACGAGAGATGGTGGCCGGCTTGGGGAGGTCTTCATCCAACGGTGGATAGATCGTGGCTATTGCTGATGATGTGCACCATCATCAGCATCATGTGATCGTGCATGTCGAACTTCTTTCGAACGGCGCGAAAGAAGTTCTACATACGTACAATGAACGTGAAAGGCAAAAATACAATTCGAGATACACTTTGTTCAAAACATCCAGGATAGTTATAAATTGTGCATTGCTGCTTTGAGCCAGAAGTAACGTCTGTCTCATCAAAAGCCTAATATTAACGACAGTTTGATGTACTTTCTCTTTAATTAATAATCTAAAAGCACATACCCAACTGCATAAATACATGTCAATTCACTTTTAAGTCTTTGTGGGGTTTTTTTGTGATTTATATTTTGTATGAGCATTATATACCGTATCACCAACGCTTATAATCAGAAGGCGAGGGGAAAGATGCGATTTAAAGTCCTGGTTGCGAATTGACGCAGCCCATCATCCCTCCCGGGTCGATAAATACATTCCACTTTGCAGTGGAGACGACAGTGGTTGTCCCGCCATAGAACTGTAAATTTCCCACCATTGGCTCAATGCTCATTTTTAAATCCTTTATATTAAGTTCGCTTGCTGCTTGCGTGCTTGCGTGCTTGCTTGCTTATGACCGTGCAAACCTTTCAGTCGTTTTTTAACCCACTTCCCGTGATACAATCGAGCTGACATTTTGCACACAGACTCGTTGTGCGAGACAATTAATGTTCGTGAAAAAATGTTTCCAAAATTTTACACTGTTTAGGGAAAACAAATTAAATATTTAATTACCAATTGCTTAATACTGGCAGACAATCATCTGACCCATAGGTGGCAGCCATCTCAAGCCAGAGGACGAGAGGACTCTAGCCGCCACGCATATAAAGGATTTAGAGTGAAAAACTTTGTTTTTGACCCACAATAGTGGTACCCCGTTTCTGCTCTGGAAGCCACTCTCGACTCTTGTTTTGGTGAATTGCCCGACCTGTAGGTGACGTCGTTCTTGGGCCACTTGTAGCGCTGGGGGAAGAGGTTGTACTCAGCGACGTCGGGGACTCCGCAGCGCGGCTTCTTCATCACCTCGATTGTCTCCATGTCCAGTTTCCCCGTCACTTGGAGACCCAGGAACTCCTGCATGACCTTCAGCGTGTCCGCCATGTTGGTCCGAGAGTTCAACTTGAAGTGGTAGAAATGATTGAGGTATGTCTGCGGGGCAAGAGAGAAGCACGCGTTGGCGACGGAGCGATGCCGTTAAAACTTAAACAACAACAACAAAATACAGTTCTAGATTTGAAGCTTTCGTGACTGCAAGGATTCATATTCTTAGGTTTTTTTCGGTAAAGTCACGTAGGTAAAAAATTAAAATTAATTTAATCACGACGTGCCTCCGAAACGTCGTGATTTTCATTTTATTTTTATTTTACTTTTATTAATTAAAATTTTTTACCTACGTGACTTTACCGAAAAAACGTAAAAAAAACTAAATACAGGGTGCTTCAAAAACGTGTTAACACTTACAGGGGACTATCTTTTTAATGCAAAGAGAGCCGATGATACAATGTAACGTGAAAACTAATTTTGATTTAAAGCTTTCGTGACTGCAGGGATTCATATGCTTGGTTCTTTCGGTAAAGTCACGTAGAAGGGAAATAATAAAAATATTAAAAATAATTCTCACGACGTTTCGACTGCAACACAAACAATCATCATTAAGTGTGAAATCCACAGAAAATTTGAAAAAAGTGGCGGTTTTTCCGAACGTCACATTTTCTTGCTGTGGATTCACACCTGATGACGATTGCTTGTGTTGCAGTCGAAACGTCGTGAGAATTTTTATTGTTTACAATTTTATTATTTTATTATTTCCCTTCTACGTGACTTTACCGAAAGAACCAAGAATATGAAAACAAATGTTTGTTAATAGCTTAAAAAAGTCAAAGAGTCTCCACTTGTTCGCCATCGTTGTCAACACGTGGCCTGGAATCTTCTCCAGGTGGTCTCCAGAGCCCGGAGGCACATTTATTGTGATATTGTTGCAAATTCTCAGAAGTGTTAAAAAAAAGATTGCAGATTACATTAATGAAAATGCTTCGTCACCATCGTTCATCCATTACGGGCGTGATACGCACAAGGGGCTGGTTGCATCGCAGGAACCGTGAGACGCAGTGGAGATTTTGCGGAGGCCTTTATCCTGCAGTTGATTGACCCGCGGCTGCTGCTGATTTAAGGTGATGCCACCAAGGCGATTGTCGACTGGCAATTTGTCTCCGGCTACGTGTTACTGCGAGCAACCGTAGCAAGTCAGTCGAGCGGCAACGGAGATCGATGGAGTAGCTTGTATAGCAAATGACAACAGTTTGTTCTCAAGTATGTACATTGGTTCAACAATTATTTTGGTCTGCAGGAGCGCGCGACCTCGGACAATCACGTGACCTGTGTTTTGGAGAAGTTGATTGAAAGCTCCGAACCCGATTGCCCACTAGGGGGACGGGGGAGTCAAGATGTGTCCAGATTGAAGTGATCTTCATATCTATCACGGGACCCCATGATGTGGTTGATCACCCAGAGCTATCAATGCTCTGATACGTGCATTGTGTCTGTGCGTTGTTCTCTGGTCTGACACTGGTGAGACGATTGCTTAAAGGAGGCTGGCTGTGGTGTGGGCCAATCCGTTTTAAACACAATGCATTGTATAGTGTCATAGCATGTTTGTTTGCATGTTCACCGCAAGTACTGTGTGTGGTCAATGCAGACTTGATTTCTTGTAAAACGGTATCTGTTTGGTGATTAAATATCTTAACACCCAGTTTTATTTCCAAAAAGGGAAAAAAGCTACGAGCAAAAAAATTCATATCCGTATAGAATTAATAATGTTGTGATAACAGTTCCAGTTTCAAGGTTATTTTGTTCGACCAGGGCAACAACTCGATCTGACCGAGGGAGGGATATGAGTTTCGTTCGCTAGCAGCGTGACGTGGGTTATCAACGTGACGGGAAAAAAACGAGTTGAATAATTATGCAGAGCAGCAATAAAGAAAATAGCAATCGGCCCAAAAACAAAAACGCAAACGCTGCACCACGTGATAAATCTTAAAACCATTAGCTGTGAACATTGATGGAAAATATTGGCATGAAATTGCCCTGTTATATCATGACCTTTAACATATGTTTTCTTATGGTTTCCCCCCCCCCCCCCTAGATGGTGGAACAAGCCGTCCGGTTCAATCTCCATTGGCAAACACACATGATTTTCAAAATATTTCTCATTTTCTGAAAATAATTTCCAGAGGTCACCAAAAAAATGAATACATGTTCGCCTATGCAAATCAAAGTTTGAATCTGTTTTTGCCCATCGGCCGGCCTACGGACTTTCCATACCAATTTTAACCAGCAGCATCTATTTAAGCAGGCAAACTCTGGACCGGATTTCGAAGTTCTGGGTCTCGTCGACAGGGGGACTAAATACTATTTTAAATTAATTTGGAGACATGAACAAGAGTCCGTTATTGTTGATTAATTACTCACATCGTTGCACAACGCGTCAGAATCAGAATCTTAATTTCACCCGGAGAAATCCGATTTAGCTCCGAAATTTATTTTTCACAGACACCCAGAAATCCGCGGAGACGTCACCACCGTGGAGATGGAGCGACGGAATCCACTCGTGCGCAGGTGGATCCCTAAATCGCGGAACCGTGCGAGATGTGGTGACCACATGGGGAGACCTTTCAAGCAACGGTGGTTTGACCCTCGCTGAAGACACAGTCGTAGCCCGGGTGTACGTCGGGGATGCGTTCCTGAAAGGTGCGATGACGAATATCGAAAGGACGTCAATCTGAAAGAGCGATTCGCAGGGTGGTAGGTGGTGGAGGCGAAGGTTGAGAGGCGACGTATAACGAGGAAGGACCAGACGATGCTGCTGGTGCGGGGTTCGAGGCGAACGCAACTCGGGTCGCCGTGATAATAAAGTGACGGCGCATGAGCGAAACGACGTAAACATGGGGAGAGGTATATCGGGGTGTTATGTAATAATGATGATGGTCAACATTTAGGAATGCCACACAACAGCGCCGCATCATTCGTAACATTGTAATAATGATGATGATGTAAGCATTATTGTAATCATGATGATAATCATCATTTATGAACCCCTCTTCTTGGTTCTTTCGGTAAAGTCACGTAGAAGGGAAATAGTAAAATAATAAAAATAAAACATTACATTATGTTTATAACCGAAAGAACCAAGAAGATGAATCCCTGCAGTCACGAAAGATTTCAATCGAAATCATTTACGAACGCCACACAACAGCGCATAATTCGTAACATGTTAAAGACAAATTTAAAGGGGGGGGGGGTGTTTAATTCAAATGCATCCTCGTGTGCGTTACAACCACCACTGACTACTCACCTCTGCCAATTCCTCGTCGGTATCTGCAGGCGCTGAGCTGCACACGGCCACGGCTGCTACGAGCAGAGCCAACAACGCCATCGAGTTCGCCATGTGTCCTCCGGAGTTTTCGCGGTGTCGTCGGTTGTGACTTCTGGGGGTTCTGTTATCTGGCCGCCCTTTTATAAACCGAGATGTGTCGGTTTCAAGAAAAAAACAAGCGAGCTGCAGAGGGGAGGGTGGGGGGTGGGAGTGACGCAGATTTTTGTTTTTACTCAAATGCGTCAGGGATGGAACCTCTGGAAATGTTGACACACGATGTCACCTTTGTAACTTTGACACCACGGATTTGTTGAGTCACGTGTACTGTTTGGTGCAGCCTTCGTCATGAATGAACATTTATTTACTGGACATTTTGCGAATATCCAAATAAGTAGGTAGACTTTGTAAAGAATTTCAAATTAAGTTTGAATTAAGAAAACATTTCAACTACAGTCCATGTGAATTGTAAATAATTTCAAATTAAGTTTGAATAAAGAAAACATTTCAACTACAGTCCATGTGAATGTAGCACTCTTTCTTTGCGGTGCATACCGTTGCAGATTATAATTAATGAATAAAACGTTTGAGATACAAAAAACATCTTAAATATCATAATTTACGACAATTTGTCAATCCACTGCTGTTTGGAAGCTATGGCCAGGCTGTGTTGGCCACGGGGGTTTAATGACCATAATTCCTCATGCTGACCAGGCTGATGAAAAATAATGTTTGATATCACTCGCCACTGATCTTAGCCGTCGTTGGTGAAAGCAAACTTGGACTGCAGGTTTCGTAACGCAGTGCAAACACATTCCTGCGGAGGGAGCTGGTAGGAACTTTGGGTTGCTCGGTCAATGGCCAGGGTCAACGGCGGCGTGGTGTATTCCGCAAATATGGCCGACTGTGAGGGCGGGCACAAGCCGGCGTCAGTAGGTTAAACGTTGAGTTTCATAAGGGCACCACGGGGTGACCAGCCCCTCCCCACCCAGCCCCACCCCTCCCACCCCCCACCCAGCCCCACCCTCCCCACCCAGCCCCTCCCCATCCTCCCCTCTCCACCCAGCCCCACCCTCCCCACCCAGCCCCTCCCCACCCGTCCCTGCCCACCCAGCCCCTCCCCACCCGTCCCTGCCCACCCAGCCCCTCCCTTCCCACCCAGCCCCTCCCTTCCCACCCAGCCCCTCCCTGCACGACGGACGGACACAATAATCCCCTGTGGGCTGGTGGAACCAGTGGGTTCCTACCAATATAAGCGCTGCTTCAACGTTCAACTCCATACACCCCGATCCATGCATCGTACCTCTGAGTGGTATTTATATGTACCGGGTATTGTGAAGACACCATACCCATCATCGTCCACGTTGCATTTGAAATGTTTATTATATTAAAAAAATATCGAATGTGATTCTTGCGTTCATTTCCAGGACACGTCTTTTTTTTACATGGCAAACCACGCGCCAAGTATAATTCCAATCAAACACTTTTCCATTCGTGGTGGGGGGGGAAAAACACCCTCACAGCCGGAGAATGAATGCAAGCCAGACACCAGCGGCAATCACTGCACGGAAAAAGGTGTGCCACTCACAAACAGCAGGAAGGCAAAACTCCCACCGCGCCTTGCGTGCATGGCACGTGACCACCAGGTTGCATGTATGACGCTCTTTGCCTTGTCCAAGCCATCAGCTGGACAAGAGTACAGCAACGATTGCACTCATATCGTGCCTAGGGGACCCCCTAGTGACAGCTGTCCCTGTGTGGCGCACGGTGAACACTACACCGGCCTTAAAGTGGGGATTAGACTGCCACTAACTCAATCAATACGACATTTATGGCGCACCGAACTCGGCACGAAGCTGAGACGGACGCGTGGACAGATAGCACTGAGGATATTAAGCGAAATTAAACTAAACGGCTTAAAAGCGCCGATTGTCACGGCTGAACGGATTTCGTTTGGCTGACTTCTAGACCACCAAGATCTGCGGATGAGACATTTCCGTTCTGCTGCCTTGGCCCGCTGGATGTCACACAGAGAGACAAGTAGGAGGGCGATGTTGCTCTTGTTTTTTTCCCAATTTAGTAAATAATGGGGCTGCAGCTTTGCCTTGGGCTCAAGTTCATCTATTGTGGAAGTTACTTTTTTTGGGGCAAGACAACTCGGGGCGATAACCACACGTGGGCAACGGCCTCATGCACACCACATCCGTCGTCGACTCATCTGCAGCGCCAGTGGCAAGACACGTAGGAATGGCTTCGGTAAAAAAATTCCACCCGGCTATAACTGACTCATTTCAAACGTATGGGAAGATATCAGTTGCAAATATCGCACGCAACTAACCGCAAATGACAAGGGATCACAAGGCTTTGGCTGCCACGGACCCCAATCATGAAAAAAATCAGTTGACCTCATTTAAAACACAAACATGATTTTCCTGCCGCAGATTACGACGCTCTTGCTAATGCCTGCGGTGAGTTCCATCTTCCCGATTTTGTGGCGTCGGGGGGCGGGGGGGGTTGAGGTTACGCAGGAAGATCGACGTTGTGAAAAATCCCACCGACAGGAAATGCTGTCAAACTTGCACTGGCGATTAAGCGCATCCTTTGCGTTGCTAGGATACTGAGTGCAATTTTGGGGGTCCATTTACGTGGAAAAATGAATAAAAAAATGTATATACCGTGGAAAAGGTGCGTCTCTCGGCGTGGCTGCAGCAATAAAAAAAAAGCATACATCAACATGCTGTCTATGATGGTATCGCCCTCTTATTAGATAATTGCATTGCGTCATATGAGCTCAGTCGATACAACTTCAAATCTGACAGGTTCTGTGTGCAATTGGAAAACCAATCGCAGCCGCAGGAATGTGTACAGCGGGGGCTGGAAACAAGTGTCTGGATGGCCGTGTACCTTCAACCTTCTGAGTTGAAGAAGAACGATATCAAATAACTAGGAGTAGACATGTCGTGGCCCGCAAAAATGTTTGGAGGTTTGCAAAAGGGTCCGCCAGAGGTCGCAACCGGGTACCCGATACCCGTACCCTACCCGATACCCGGCTACCCGTACCCAGCCGGGTACGGGTACGGGTAGCCGTTTGCGACCCTGGTGCGGCCGGGTACGGGTAGGCCGTGAGTCACTGGTGAGTAACCGTTTGTCACTCATTTCGGGTAGGGTACGGGTAGGGTACGAGTACGGGTACCCGACCGGGTACGGGTACGGGTACCCATTCGCGACCCTGGTGCGGCCGGGTACGGGTAAGGTATCAAAACCTGTTTGCGACCTCTAGGGTCCGCACACTCCAAAAGGTTGGGAACGGCTCGCTGGTCCAGTGGTCCGGCCATCTCAGAGCGACCTCTGAGATGGCTTTCGAGTGACCTCCGGTCCACACACGCAGTCGCGAGGGGCAGCATGTTTTTGCCCTCTCTGCCCAGCACGGAAGAGCGATATTTGAATTTTCAAAGCTGTTAGCCAAAAATTAAGCGTGAGAAAATATTTGAATGCGATTGGGTTTATTTGTGTGTGCAGTGCAGTCGTTAGCGGCTGGATTAAAACCATGAAACTCACTGCACTCGAGACCACGGCTTATACACAGGCGGCTGCTTAAATTCAAACCCAGGCAGCTCGGACGTGCCAGCTGCTTTTAGTGCTCTGAGCCCTGAGCCACGTCGACCGATCCGACATTCAATGCACCTCTCATTGCTGCGGCACCCCAGTAGCCACGCGGTGAATCGCAAGACGGCACCGCCGATTCGCAGTGGGCGAGGTGGGGGGGCAACATCACCGTGACCCGCCAAGCCTCCGCGGAGACTATCGGCTGGCTAATAGAGCCTCGATATCCACGCGTAGTTTGACGAGAAAAAAACACACACACCTCTCTCATTCTTAATTTGAAGCTTTCGTGACTGCAGGAATCCATACTCTTTGGTTCTTTCTAACGACGTGACTTTACCGAGAGAACCAAAGAGTACCTCTCTCATTGTAAACGTACAAGTCCGACTAGCCAGCAACGTGATAACAGTGCACGGCGTATCGGCTCACAGCGCGTTAACAGCTCGAAGCTAAGGCGACAGAAGACCGAGAAAGCTGAACGCACGGAAGGGATTTCTTTTTTACGATCACGACTTGTGGAAGGTTTTTTTTCCTCCCCAGGAAAGAGGTACTTGCAAGCTATCAGAAGTGAGCAGAGATTTTGCAAGGGTAGTTACATCAGCAAATTACCCCCCCACACCCACCCACCCACCCTCTCTCCCTCTTCCCCAACCTTTGCGTCATGGGCTGTGGTTGAGACGCTATCGGGCTCGTGTCAATCACTCAGAGTGGATGGATTCCTTGAATAGGGCAGCGGCTCCCGTTGGTCGCCCGGCCGTCTTTGTCTCCCCAGTGGTGAGTTATACGCACCCCAGAGTCAAACGACAGCGGGAGGTTCAGAAGCAGGACATTGTAGTTGTCACTGATGTTGGTTATGGAAGGGAATCGAACTCGGGTCGCCGAGTTACATATACACATGCGTATGATTAGTGTAATTTACGCCCTTTGTTAATCCATATTGTAAGTTTTAAAAGAGGTTAATGCTGCAAAAGTCTGTATAAAATTACAACTGTTTTGCTTGATTTCTTGTTAAGGGGCCGTCCATAAATGACGTCACGCACCTAGGGGGGTCAGACATGTGTGACGAGGCGGGGGAGTTTGAGAAATGTGACGTCACATCAAAATGCGCAACTTTAAATAAATATAGACAACACGTTGTACTTAATTAATTCGACTTTTTAATAAATGTTTTCTCCGACAACATCAGAGTGGAGCGCCACATTAAATACGCACTACAATGACAATATTTAAAGCGATTTGAAGCAAGCATGTTTTATTTATTTTGGGGGGGGGGGGCAGAACTTTGTGACGTCATATTTGAGGGGGTAGGTCTGACTTTTTGTGACGCCGTGTGACGATGGGGGGGGGGTCAAAAATCGTCAAAAATCACGTGACGTCATTTATGGACGGCCCCTAATTAGAAACTACAACATGGACAAAACTCTAAAATATATACACGTATGTATTCTCTGAGATGTGTTTTCGGGTTGTACCACGTGTCGTATGTCATGATGCCCGACGTTTCGCTCCACGTGCCTCC